GCCTTTAACTACAGCTAGAACTTACATTCATGAACGCCGTCACCAGTTAGTTTTCCTTCACAGTGACACCCATATACGCCATTCACAGCGCCACAGAAAGCACGGTCGTGGCATTTTAGGCTTTCATAGTGAATGAAGTTGTTTTCAACACATAATGCTAGGGTTTGGCAATCGTCTTCGACCCAGCTGTGACCGATCTATAGACAAAACGAATACCATATTATGGTTTGCAAACATCATGTTATGATGTATATTCATAATTGTATGATGTACATGCATTATGTTATGGTGTGAATTCATCAAACTGCAAGATAATGAAATAAACTCTGAATGATAACAGCGTGAAATAACTAAAGAAATTCTCGCAGCATTTTGAAGGCTGAAAAACACAGCCTTTAGGCGCGCTGCGCATTGCTAGACACTGTATGACGCAATTTCACGTTGGTGACATGAGGGCGTTCTCTGTGTCGGCATTTGTCGTTGCGAAAATTCTTCAAATTTCGACTCAGACGAAAATATTTTTGTTGTGTGAAAACTTCATCAATTGAATTACTTTTCTGTGACCTTATTTGAAATATTGCTGTTTATTTATTTCAAGATTGACACCAAAAGTAAACTAAATAAAACATATTTTCTCGACATTTCTATTACGCTGAATTAATAGCGAAATGAACAAGTGTTCTATGGTTATGAATTGAGTTTATGTGTTAGCTCACTGAAATGTAAATGATTTTTGTTTTGGAAAAAGTAATAAATGTAAGTACAGAAAAAAACATCAAAATCGAACGGTAACCAAGTGTTCCATATAAATTTGTACAAAAGACGGCATTCACATCTGTAGTAGTCCGGCAATAAAAAGCAGTCAAACATATTTGTCTATTTGAACGACACCAAAATCATGACGTCACAGAAGCGCGTCGCCGCTTGAGGGCGCGATTCATAGAAAAGGTTTATACTGCTTATGTTATAAGTAATGGGATAGTCACCTCATGATAAAGACCACTATCGTCGAGGCATCCACAATCAGCTCTTTCTACGCATTCACTTCCACTGAGAACAAACCCAACGTCACACTCGCAACCCTCCGTGCACGGGTCTGGACAGTCGCCGAGAGATGTCTCACGAATACAAGTGTTCGGACAAGCCGACACACATTCTGAGTAGTGGCCGTGCAGTGGACACTGCAGTGCTGTAAATAAATGAGATAATAGACCTTAGTCGCGTTTTCGTCACTGTGACCATGGAAGGTACCTTCTATGCTTTGGCGTCACCATAACACTTCGTCGCCTGGGTGCGCGACTTTTAGACAGCTATATAACTATCCGAGTCCCATTCTAAGAGTTGTAATATTTCACCGTGGTTTAAATACTACATGTTACTGTTGTCACTCATTGTCAGATAATGAATATCAATAATTAAAATAAGAAAATAATCTGATTTCGGAATTTAAAAGATACTTACGACAAAATGTTGGAGTTCTAAATGTCTGAATGATGTGACCTTGCTCTAAGCATTCATCGTAGAAAGATCCATAATTGTTACATAACTGTTCTACGCCACCAATGTGACACATATCAAATAGGCAAGCTTGGGTGTAGAGATCCACCACATGTGAATCTAGCATACTCCCGCACTCGTAGAAGATAGAGTAAGGGTCCATGAAAGCACCGCACATATCGTGTTCGAGGAATCTCAGTTTAAGATCTGGGGGGCACTCAGGTGGATCTATTGTGTCCAAGTCACCATCAGTTCTGATATAAAACAAAACGGATAAAATAATCAAGAACATAAGGACAGAATTGCAAAAAAAAGATGATAAATTAAGTATTTGAAGTAAAATTTTACTAAATGATATAATTCTTTGAATGTACTAGTCTAGCTAGTAAAAATAAAAAAAAAGCTTAGAAAGAACAAATACTATATTAAAGCACATCTTCAATACACATAAAGCAAATATTGGGTTTATTGCATGCAAAACCATTGAAATATCTCTTATTTTGACCATAGACTTGTCTTTGCCATTTATATTAACAGTAAACACATGTGATTATAATAGAGAAAATACAGTATTTCGAAAGAAAGCTTAGAAGGTATTAGTACAAATTTACAGTTAGTACATGTGCTTCTACTAGAGCATTAAAATTGAGGTCACATGACCATATATAGTCATATTAATCTCAACCAAACTAATCAGGTTTGCACATTATTCTGGATTCATTTAAATCCAGGTTTTTGAGAAAAAATGAAAAACCTTAAAATTGGGTAAGTGATGTGCAAAATAGGTAATTAATATGCACTGGACAAAAACTAATCAGGTCTGTGCAATATTACAGGACATCTAAGTACCATGTTACATTGATATCCGTTCAATAATACATGAGAAACAAGTGAAAATGCTTAAATCTGGCTGATTTTATTATTCAAATTATGGGTGTATATAAACCCAAAATATTAGATTACATTAGATCGATGCAATGTACCAAGATGCATTGAAAAAAGATGATAAGTACTTGAGATATTGATGGAAAAGCTGACAACTGAACAATTATTATGGAAATCGGGTAATTAATATTTGCAGATTTGAATGTAAAACTAATAAGGTCTGTGAATTGTCCTAGAGCATCCATGTACCAAGTTTCGTTGAAATGGGATAATTAGTACTTGAGATATCAGTGAAGAAGCCAAAAAATACTAATTATTATGCAAATTAGGTGATAATATGCACAGAATTTTACTCAAAACTAATTAGGTCTGTGTATATCTTAGAGCATCTATGTACCAAGTTTAATTGGAATGTAATGATTAGTACTATAAATATCAGCGGAAAAGCCAACAATTTACTAATCATGCAAATTAGGTATTTATTATGCACGGATTTAAACCAGAACCTAATCGAATTTGCGCATTAGCCTAGAGCATCTATGCATAATGTTTCATCAAAAACCAACATATGGTCTTTGAAATATCAGTGGAACAGGACACACACACATAAACAAAAAGAACACTTTTACGTCATAAAGGGGCGCGATTTGTAACAACTCCAAATTCAAATAAACAGCTGGGTCGAACAATATTTAAAGATACATTGTGGATGAAAACAAATATTCCCTAATATTGATGTTTGATGTAACGTAGATTTTAATTTTGTTTCACAACGCAAAAGTACAGCATTCTTTAGAAGAAAAAGTGAATAACACTAGTGTGCATGCGCAGTGATTGTTATAATACGTACCAAAAAACAATGCACATGCGTACTAGAATATATCATTGTTTCATCGAACGAATACTATTATGTGCGCTGCAAAAACAACGTGTTTATCGTTTATCTCTTGAGAAATTCTAATCGAATGTATTAATTAGGGCACACTATCAAACAAATTACATATTCTCATCCGTAGTGCAGCTGTCAGAAAAAAATAGTGTCACGTTTAGAATCAGTAGTCACAGTTAAAAGTGGTAGATACACTCGACAAGAAATAACCTTCTCGTAGAATGCCGTAAAACACATTATTATACATCTGTCACCGTAACGCCGTAAATTTACAGCGTGTCGTAATTTTGCGGGGTATTTTCAACCTACCATATTAGGAAATGCAAATTCCAAGTATGGAAGCAAAGACAGTACGCCGCGCATCGATACTCCAGCTGTACTGTCTTCGTGCTTACTTTAAGGTATCCTCGTAATATCCTCATAGTATTGAAATATGATCAACTACTAAGCAAACTAATTCTCCCAAATTATACAGAAAATGTATTGACTCTCCTGTAAGAATCATTTAAAATAAGCCTGATATAATGTGAGATCAGTTAGTTGATTTACTCTATACTTCATATCTATATCTTACCTTGAATACATTTATTGACCTTAATATTTTACAACAAAACAGTGAATATTATTAGAACAATATAATTCACTTACTCAGACTCCCCATCACAATCAACTCGCCAACTGTCACAGAACTGATTACTGGAAGTAGCCAGCCCTCCATCCGGCATCACCATGTCATTTTCCGAATTGGAGTCGCAGTTTCCACAGATGCCGACCATCTTTCCCACATAGCGGGAATCTGTCTTGATTTCGGCACGGTGGTTGCCATCCCAAGTCAGCCAAAACCCTAAATCGCTGGCCGACAGTAGGGTGTATTTGCCACTTTTTTCAATGTATAGATCAGTCATTGGGTTTGCTGGGAGTGTTACTTCTTTTTCATCAATCTAAACACAGGTTAAATAGAATATAATGCAAATTATCATCCCTGATTTATGCTTTCCGCTCAACCATTATACATACCTAATACAGTAGCTGAAATAGCCACAGTCATGCAGTCATAGCCATAGTCGTCACGCAGCCCGAGCAGGCAGTGCCATAGTCGTCGTCGTCATACAGCGCCGAAATCGTCACACTTCGCCACATTCCCCGTCGCCATATAGTGCTACAATAGTTACGCAGCGCCACAGTCGTCACGCAGCGTCACAGCCGTCACGCAGATCGAGCACGCATCGCCAAATTCGTCGTCGTCATATAGTGCTGCAATAGTTACGCAGCGCCACAGTCGTTATGCAGCGCCACAGTCGCCATGCAGCCCGAGCAGGCAACGCCACACTCGTCGTCGTCATACAGCGCAAAAGTCGTCACGTAGCACCACAGTCGTCATCATAAAGTGCTACAATAGTTACGCAGCGCCACAGTTGTCATACAGCGTCACAGTCGTCACGCAGCGCCACAGTCGTCACGCAGCGCCACAGTCGTCATCATAAAGTGCTACAATAGTTAGGCAGTGCCGCAGTCGTCATGCAGCGCCACAGTCGTCACGCAGCGCCACAGTCGTCATCATAAAGTGCTACAATAGTTACGCAGCGCCGCAGTTGTCATAGAGCGCCACAGTCGTCACGCAGCACCACAGTCGTCACGCGGCACCACAGTCGTCACGCAACCCGAGCAGGCAACGCCGTAAAAGTCGTCACGCAGCAGCATAGTCGTCGTCATATAGTGCTACAATAGTTACGCGGCGCCACAGTCGTCATGCAGCGCCACAGTCGTCACGCAGCCCGAGCAGGCAACGCCACACTCGTCGTCGTCATACAGCGCAAAAGTCGCCACGCAGCACCACAGTCGTCACCATATAGTGCTACAATTATGGAAAGCCGTACGGGACCCTGCTGCGTCAATATAAATTGCATGGTAAAACATATAGCTTCAAAATTATGCTGCTTCTTCAACAAAAGTGCGATTTCCGATGTCTACGTTTACCAATTGTAGTAGTAGCAATCAGCGCAAAACTTATTCACCGTCGTCGCTAATTAATTAGTAGTTGTCGCAAAGCGAGTTGTAGTAGTCGCGATTTAACGGGTGATGATTTGTAGAAGTCACTAACCCACTACAGCGTATTTGTCGCTG